TAACAACTTTTTCAGCGATTTGTCGACAGACACAAATGTACTACGGTCCTCAACTGCACAAATTTCAGTGTATCTATTCGTTGCACCTAAAAAAATTGTGGATCTGACAGTTATAAATCTAGTATGTACTGCTATGTCAAACTTTTTCCAGTAGGTAGATACTAGTTACATTTATTTAAGATTGTATGTATTTAACGTTAGATCAGCAAATTCAAACACCGTCTTGCAAAATAGCGACCGAACGATTGAACTTAGATATATGTAAACTCGTCTCGTACACGTATACGCACAGAACATTTTCAGAATATGCGGTGTGTGATATAAATTTGTTTCTGTTTTTAACGCACACATTTACAGCCCCGCACTAGGGAAACCCCGTATGGCGGGTGCCATGGACACACATACAGATAAACATAAATTATACCCAAACTCAGTAATGCTTTGACCACACAGAGGCGGCTGCAGAAGCTTGCATTACAAAAATTCCCGCGCGGGAATGCTTCCGCGGCCGCCTCTATGTGGCCTGAGCATAAATACAAATATTTCTCCTGGCCTGACCTCTGCGTGGCAGTCCAGCATGGTAACCGTTCGGCCACAGAGGTAGATACAACCGCCTCCGTGAAAAGAGAAAAATGTTTGTATGGCCTACATTTGTTTCTATTGTGAGTTTGGGTATGGCTTGGGTTTAATTATTGGTTGTCTATGTGTGTGTCCATGGCATTCGCGACACAGGGTTTCCCTAGCGCAGAGCCATGTTGGGTGTATGCGTTATTATTATTATAGTTCAATAAGTAATAAATACTCTGTTTCGAGGCCTGGTGGTAGGTATTGAGGCATTGAATGGATCATAAACCTTCTACGTGAAAATTTTGGAATTCAACCGCTGTACACATACTCGTACATATAATAAATCGACGACATTATTTTTTTAAATACGATATCATATGTACGTCGGAGCAAGTTGTCACTAAAAAACGTATCTAATGTGACAGAATTCGGTATTGTTTACGTAATGTGTTTTACGAGAGGATAAATCTTAGCTAATATTATTACTGTCGTATTAAATAAATCATTCACAAGGCTACCTACGAATCACTACCATAAATACCGACCATAGTTAATAACTAGTCTCGGTCATGGTTTCTTTGTTAACAATGTCACGTTAGTTTGACTGCTCAAATTGGGTAAGGTCGCAGTCCAACCTCGAAGTCTGGTTGAGCCAGCGGAAGTGCGTCACCACGTTCCGACTGACACATATACTCACCGGGCACGGATGCTTCGGTGAGTATCTGAATCGGATCGGACGCGAGTCGACGACGCAGTGCCACCACTGTGAGAGGGACCAGGATTCCGCCCAGCACACGCTGGAGGAGTGCCCCGCATGGGCCTGCGAGCGGAACATCCTGGTTGCCCGGATTGGGCGAGATCTCTCTCCGCCAGGCAAAGTAGCAGTTATATTGGCGGATCAAGAGTCCCATGAGCAGTGGTCTCCTTCTGTGAAGCGGTGATGCTTCAGAAGGAGGTCGCCGAGCGTGATCGGGAGAGGGCCGATCCCGCTCGGCGGCGGCGTACCTCGAGGCTGCGGGCGATCGGTGCGGGGGCTTCGTTCGCCAGTAAGTTAGGCAGCCGCGAGGAGGACGACGGGGTGGTGTGGCCTGCTTCGTCGTGAGGAGAGGAGGGGGAGGACGTAGCTCCTCCTAGGTGCTGGGGGGGTTCCGATGCGCTCCCGCTGCCCCCGCGCCGGAGAGGAATCCTAAGAGGATTTCCCCACGCCAAAAAAAATTGGTAAGGTCGCAGTATGGGTGGCGCTGGTGTAGTTTAAATCTGTTCAGTTAAATCAGGCATCTGACATAATCCTAACACGTTAGTCGTTGGTAGGGTTTTTGGTAGGGCTATATGAAAATAAGAAGTGAAGTTGATGTTCAATGCTTATATAATGCTTATAAACTGATGAGCTCGTTTTGACAAGAGGAGTTTTGGTTGTAAGTTGCTTCGAAAGCTTGGCCCGCTCTCTGTGAAATTTCCGCGTGACATTTAAAATCCGTTTTAACCTGATCCATCTTTTGTACTTTCGTAATTAGTTACTGTGAAAAATTGACAAAACAATTAATTGCAATCAACTGACGTTAGTATTTCACCGCCGGTAGAATGAATTTGTAAAATAATGTGAATAAGCCAATTATCAAATAATTTTTGCCTAAATAAAAACGTCTAAAACGTCTCCCCTATAGGTATAAGCAGTAAGGTATAAGAGAGGTCCCTTACACCATACTCCCATACTCCGACAATAGAATATATTATTATAGTGATATCACTGACTGGTGTTTGCCAAGTTTCTATTACACAAATCCATTTGCTATGTTTTTTATTTGTTGATATTTCTCTGTTTGATGATGTAGAGCGAAAATGTTACGTCAAGTTGAAAATTAGTTTAAATTGTCATGTCAAATTGGTGCGTGGCTTTCATCTTAAGAATGAATCTTACGTAAAACTGAAGAACCTGTGTGAATTATTCAGGCTTAATTGTAATGGTAATACACGAAAGTTGGTGACGCCTTACTAAATATTGTTCAATCCAACTGATAACCATGCCCTCAAAACGCAGTTTCCTTTTTTTTTTTTTTTGACGGGGGCAAATCTTTATGGATAACTCTGAGCCCAGGGAGACTCAGGGGTTATGTGAGGACTCTCCCTCCAGGCTGGAGGGCCTACCCCACTAAAACCCCCCCGGGTTTCCCTCTCGCCGGTTGAGTCGGCGCCTTGGGATCAGTGAACATTCACCACGACGAAAGCGCATTTTCCTAAACAAATAGCAGATTATTATTGAAATCGGGTCAGCAGACCTTACGAATTTCTATGTGTTTCTTACAAAAATTTTGCATTGGGTTGTTTTCGGTTTTTATCGTCGTAGTTTGAGTCTTATCATATCGAATTAATTTTTCTTTGTGTTCGATCTTTGTAATAATAATTATAACGTACTAGAGAAGTAATTTTACAAAAAAAGAAATAATATAGTAATAAAACATATAATAAATAAATAACGCACACGCTCCTAGCCCTGCACTAAGGAACAACCATAAATAACACCCAAACTCATGAGAGAAATAAATGTCGGCCATACAAATATTTCTCCCGGCCCTCGCCTGCAAAAAAAAACAAAAATAACAAATGTCTACATTATTGAATGTTTGTCTCCTTATGAGACTGTCTAGATTCATGTGAATTTATCGGACTTTATTATTCAATATATAGGGACTATATTATGTATACACAGGTTAAGTAGGTTTTATTATTATTATTATTATTATTATTATTTTTCAATACCGTTTACAGCCTTAGAAGGTATAGCATCCTAATGAATCTTGGCAGTACACTAATTTATGTACACCCAGAGGGTAACATGATGCAGGTTTCCCTTAAAATTTATATAAACTTCGTCTTAATTGTCATAATCTCCTTTGTTTTGAATTGTAAAATACCTGTACGTACAATACCTGTACGTACACGTTCAGTTATAAATATGTTTCCTCATAAATTTAGGTCTAAAAAACCATATATGCTAAATGCTAATAAACAATCGAATTACACTTACCGCAATTCTTCTTTTTCATAACCACTGTGGCATGAAATTAAAGTTTTCATTGCGGCTTCAATACGGAAACAGTGGTACTTTAAAAAAATAATATTCAGAAATTGTTATGCCATATTCCAATAGCACTGTAAGTAAGTACTATCTTCATAAATAAGAAGTCTCGGACGTGTTGTTTCAGTCCTTTCAGATGTTATTATTATACTGGGTGTAACAAAAAGGCACATTTAAAATTACACCCAGGGTTTTTCTCAATTTGGGCCAGGCATACTATTTCCTAGCAATGTCACAAATGTAATATAACCTAAGCTGTAAGCTTCCAATTTTAGTGTGTAATTACTGTGTTTGGTATAAAAATACTTTAGTTGCTATTATTTTCTTTACCAAGTGGGTTCTAGTGCTACTTGCGCCGCCGCGGCAGGTCCGTTTTTGAATGTAATACTCCTCGCTGCGCTAGTCGTCGCCCTTTAATTTGACTCAGGGTTAAACATATTTATAATACATTATCCTCAATGATTGTTATATTTGAATTGTTTATATAAAATGAAAATTGTACCATCGATATCATCGACAAAAACAATTATATTGAATGTTGTTTTAACATTCATTTATTATAACAAAATATAGTTATGTCATATCACAAATTAATTATAGATCAGAGCTAGCCTAGAGTATCCCTTGAATGTTATTTTGACCAAAAAAATACATAGGAATGAATCACTTGTTGTTATACCAAACGAACCGCACCGTTGTTAGGGTTGTGTGGTTGGATGTTGTTTTATTTGTTAAAAATTACTATTTAAGTAATTTTAATTTATTGATATTGCTATTGAATTATTAAAATTAGTTTCTTGTGACAAATTTTATACCGTACTATGGCAGACAAGACAATATTCGCCTTTAAATATAGTAACTCTTCTCGAAGAAGGCTTTACTCAATGTTATGTTTCGGTACGGTTTGGTGTGAGTCATTCTACCGTTTAAAGGACCTGGACACAATTCCAAGAGTTCAGCTCATTCAAAAGGAGACCAGGATCGGGAAGAAAACGAAGAAAAGAGTACAGGGGCCTAATATGAATTCTTATTTTTACGCAGTTAACGCCGTGACGTAAACTGCCTTGTAATTTCGTTTTATGAACTGGTAACACCAGCCAGTCTGCGGACACATGACACTAGGCTGTCTTCTGTCCGAAGTTTGGCTGGCAATATCGTATTACAAATGTAATTTTGACATTTTGTTCACGGTTGATCTGTCAAAAAGTAACAGCAATAAACCACTCAGTTTGCAGTGTCTTGGTGTAGCTTTTATTGAATTGTTTTGTGCATAATTGTATAATAATTATTATAATTTTGAGTTTACATATTTTTAGGCAATCGTTTCATCATGTTGTATGACCTTCTTTGACGCCGCCTGCCTCCCTCCTGGGTCCCTTGAGGTAAAGACCATAACAGGGACATATAAAATACCCGTGACAAAACTGTGCCGCCTAGACGTACAACCTGTACAGACTCCGACTAACTCGAATTGACTTTTATTTGAGACTTGACATCTTCACCTCCCGACCTTTTCTTTTTTCTTTAACTGAGCTTTATCATAGGTGACTTATGATCCGACCAACGCAGATCCGACAGAGTGACATTGGCCCTGCCGATGACCGGCCTGACTTGACCAAGACTGACTTGACTGAGTATTGCCTTGCAATACTGGAGGTGGGAATGTTATGACCTTCTTTGACGCCGCCTGCTTGGTATAACCGGCCAGCAGGCGGCCGACTGACAGAATGTCTATTTTGATTTGTCTTTTGTTTTTGGATTTGTTTTTGATTTTTATTGTGACGAAATAAAGAGTCGTTCGTATCTTGGCGTTTTCTTCGTTTTCATCATGTGTGATGGATACGAAATGTTTCAGTATCTCGAAAGTGATGCTTCACATGATAATAATATGGAAAAAATCCATTGAAGACAACTGCGAGATCGTAGTGATCCGTTGCAATGGATGCACAACAATTTATGAAAAGATACCGGCTCAGCAAAGATATAGTCCACAAACTTTGCGATGAACTTAAAACCGCACATGTCGAGGCCTACAAAATACACCGATTTATTGGTTGAGACTAAGGTTATTTTTCACTAAAGCCAAGTATAATTTCTTATAATTTAATTTATAGTCAAATATTCTTAAAATTTATTGACATGTTTTCAACAAAGTACAAAGTAAACATTTACCCGCGAAATTTCGTCTTTCAGAAACTTACTTTGCGCTTTTCTCTTATTTACAAAAATTAAAATATAGTGTATTGATTTTATTATAATATAACGTCTTCATTAGTATTAAATATTGTCTTTACTTATTTTCGTACAGGAATAATACGTATTTATTATTTTTCTCTTAAACTAAGTGACAAATGTAACACCGTAACTTACCGGTAAATACTCATCCATGTTTCTGAACGTTGCACTAAAAAGCACGAGCTATTCAAGTCCCAGTCATAAACAAAATAACCAGCGAGAAATCAATGAAAAATATGTATGTCGTAAAACGAATTTATCCAGTCAGATTTTGGGCGTAAAAAGAATTGCCTGGAACTTGCATGGTTTTTTAAAAGTTCATAACACGCTCCCTGAGCTCTGATACGGCTGATGTATTGTAAGCCAAGCCTTATGAAACCGGCAGTGTCCCTACTCAAACATCAAAAGCAATCTCGAAGAAGACTCTCCGGAGGAGATTTCTAGAAGTTAAAATTCACAGCTGAAGATCCGCTCATGCGATGCGCTCATCCTACCGCGAAATGGCGGCTATTTGGTTTCGCAAATTAGAAAAGGATTCTGTTTAAATACAAGTTTTTATAAATAAAAATTATTATTCTGCATTGCTAAATAAATATGCTCCATACTACAACAAAAACATCTCAAATAAAATGCAGTAATACACCGCAAATCCTACACATAAATAGCACTAATGAAATTTTTGGTGTACTCGGGTAAATATGATAATATTCCGTTTGAGTGGTTCTAACGTTTACCATGAAATTACTCCTTAAAGTATAGTTTATAAACATTTATATTCAGAATAATCTTAAGAAACGCTACTTACGGTATGTTTTCAACAAATAAACACCGAAATCACCAGCCCAAACAATAACACACACGATTGTCGTGACGTATTTTTGAAGTTGTTTATTTTTTAAATGACAAACGCAGACATTAAAAACTTTATGGTTTGCTAGAGTAGTTACCGAAATAGCAATTAGTATTAGTTCTTTTACCTGTTATAACTTTGATATCCGATAAATCGGTATAAAATCATCACCGGCACCTCTAGGTGTGGTATGCGTCTACGGCTGCATGTATCGCGTGAGCTTCCGTGGGCTTCGTTTAGCAAGTTAGAGGTTTGCCCAAAATTGTGCGACTTAGGTCCCTGTGGAGTGGAGTAGGATTTTATTCTCATAATGATTATTCCAGAATATGTTTGTTTTGCAACGCAGAGTGATGAGAAGACCTGGAGCGTTATGCAGAAGTATATTTCGAAGAGATTACGCAATACGGTGGAGTCTGTTATGTTTTGGGCAGGCATAACTTTCGGATATCGTGCAGAATTAGTTTTTGTTAAAAATGATTATCTCGATGGACGACGATGCATTAGGGACATCCCAATTCCTCAAGCATAATCCGTATTAGCCATCTCAGGTGCTGCTGCTGTCTTGATGGATGCTCGAGTATAGGACTGAAGTCTGGATTCGCCGTTTAGATTGGCTAGCAAGAAATACTGACCTCAGTCCTATTGAGCATCTGTGGGACATTCTAAAATGACTTGTTAGAACTATACATCCAGACCCGTAGAATATACAAGAGCTTAAAACTGTTGATACGCCCAAATTAAGACATACATCGAAGAATTATAGAAGTCGTCTCAGCAAGAGGATGTTACAATTTTCTTTCTCTTTTGTAACTGTTACTAAATAGACAATAAAATGTCAGTTAAGTATTTTTTTGTTGGAACAAGTAAGTATAAAACAAGAAAAAATATCAAACTAGGATGCCTGATTGACATAATAAACGCTTATTAATCTTAGTACATATTTTTTATTTTGGTTTGTTTCATTATTATTTCATTTCCTTACGCTAATTAATTATCTAAAGTACTCAAAGATTCATAGATGTCCGTTCTTTTAGTGTGTATTTTTAATACCGCAGAATCCGACTTAGTCTTCATGTACACAATAATTCAAAATCATTATTTTTCAGTTCTATGCCTGTGTTTACTATGTAGTGTATCACAATGGGGGGTAAGCCCGTAATTGAAATTCTTATTTATTTTTAAGAAAATTATGACAATTAACTTACGCTTTTACTTTCAAATATTCTCAAGTATTGTCTTTTCCAAATTAAGCACAACTAGCATTTTGTATCATGTAAATACTAGTACTTAATATAATTTTAACTAAAAATTTGTGATAATTATACTGTTTCTAGTGGCTGGTGGCGATAACGTACCAAGACTTTGAAGAACATTTCGCTGCGCGTGGATGCGTGCTGTCAAATATTTGTGTTGTAACTCAAGTATATTCGGATGAAATTTGTGCAGTCAATGCAAATGATACTTGGGAAAATGGCAGTTACCGAACATCTAGTTTCGCCAATAGATGCTTAATGCATTATTACAATTGTCTAGGAAAAGGCTGTAAGTTTGGATCGATGTAGAATCAAGATTTATTTATTTTCTTAGAACGTTTGTATATAACTCATTCGGAGAACGATTGTTTCTTAATCGACGGATCAATGTTTCGAATATATGCAGCATATACTTTTAATTTCAAAACTACGTACATCTGTGAATATTTATAAGCAAGACCTCTCGAAAAAAATATCGTGATTAACCTGCATGCCCTAAAAGGTTCACAATCCTTGGACGATGGGCAATCCCTTTCAGCCTAGCAGTAAAACAAACAATCGTTTGTTACCTAATGATTTTCCTACACTCCTGTTGATAAGAGACTTGCGTTACCTTTAGTTTTCCGTAGGGTTTGCATGTTTTCAAATTTATGTAATTTTGCCTTTTTTCTTTTTACAGTTTATTTTTCATTAACAAACTAATTAAAATTTGCTTATAGTATTCTTTCATCACGGAGACGGTAACTGTACTCAAGAGGACTCCCCATTTCTCACGGTTATTACAGAAGCATGGCGGACAAAGGAACATTGGCGGATGGATACTACACTTTCTACTCCATTAATGAAGTCGACTAAGCGCAACTTTTGGGATTCAAAAGATTTAAAGCCAATGCGAGAACTTATGTATAATGTGACGTCGTTTTTGTTAAAATCATCTATCACTAAATTGAGTCACTGGTTTAGCGCAAAAAATTAAAAGTTATTGATTATACCTAATAGAGTTCTTAGGTTTTCGCGGTTGTTACATATTGGAAATTAAATGTTTTTCTGGTCTAAATCACGCATATTTATTATTTTGATCAAATCATTGTTTCTTTCGACGTTATTGTTTATCATTTGTTGGCATTAACTATCAGTGGTAATTTCTAGAAATACCAGTAATAAAAATGTGTACTGTATGTATGTACGTAAAATAATTCATTTGCAAAGTTCTTTATTTTGATATTTTTATTCTAGACGACTATAATGCATATTTGTTTTAACTAATAAGTACAAAAAAAAACCGGTTTCAACAATGTTAAGGGGTAATTTTCAGGCTCGTTTTCTCCACCTAATTTCGTTGACAACTTTTATTATTTAAGTGTTCGAATATATTATTATGAAATGTTATAAATAATATTTCAGTATACTATACCCGAATATTAAGTAATACTTTATGATAATCCGAGTATATTTGAAAACAAAAAATTGCCACCTTAATTAGATATAGAAAACTGGAAATTACCTTAGTCTATCCAAAACTAACAAATCGAAAACCTTCATGTTGCCACAATCCATTAGACTAAATAAATTGTTGATATTACAATGTTATTAATTCAAATTCTAGATAGTGATAGCTTAATTTGTATAATAGGTACTAAAGGAAATAATTCTAAGATGATATCTGAATTATATGTTATGTTTTATATTTGCTATAATAATATGCAAACTCTACCAGTAATTAATAAGTAATTTATATAAAAGACAAATACACGTCGAAAATTGAGAATTTGCTTATTATTTTGCGAGCGATCTTCGCAAGCCTATTGCGTTTAGATAATGCCTTAAGTTCTTATTCGTGGATTGTATAATAAATAATCTATTACGTATGTAATTGTAATGAAATGTTCAACAAAGTAAGTGCTGAGACACAATACAAATAAATGTATTTCGGTTAATATTAGTGCCAATTTACTCATCTTTTTTTCGTGTCAATGGGAATCGAGCATGAAAAAAAATGGATTTATCAGGAAATCGTTTTGGTTGTGTTTCTAGACATTGAGGAATTAAAACGAGATTACCCCGTCACCCCATTACACCTCTTCGTCCTCCGTTGCGGCGCACCGTCTTAGGTACAAACTCACCTGTACCCAGACTGTCCAATCTACTCAATGAAATCAGTCATCATTGTTGATATACACCAAATCTCACTAAGCAAGTTTCGTGTGCTTGTTCACAACAAATTGTTAAATAAGTAGGTAGTATAAGTGGTCATGTGTTTTTGTTTCTGTTTTCTTCTGTTTCTTTTTTACTGTTAAATGGTTAGACATTATTTATTTATTATTCTTTAATCTTAATATAGGTACTTAATTATGAGTTTTCAGTTATGGCATGAGGTGTTTACCAGTAATTAACTGTTGCACTTAGCCTTTAAACAATGTTATGTATTTCTCTAGCTGTAGTTTTAGTGTAAGCAGTTGTTGGTGAACCAATAAATTAAAAAAAAAAAAAAAAAAAAAAAACATTTCTTGCTAGGTTTTTTTAGGTGATTTAAAAAAAAAAAATACTAGGAAAAGTGCAAGCTTTTGTTTTACACTCGATGACATTAAATAATTGATAACAATTTCACCCTCCCAAACTAATTTCTAGAACAACAAAATGTTATGTTTTTAGAAACTACACGATTTGGATTGGCCATCTAAGTCCTATGTATGACTACGTACGTACCAAATTTTAAATTTCTACGTCAAATAATTTTAGAAAAATGACATTTCAACCAGTGAATAAAATTAAGTAAGTAAAACAGAAAAAAACACTAAAATTGCAAAAGATCTAGGATATTACAGGAAATTAAATTATATTAAAAATTAGCTAATTACTATACAAAATAGATAAATATGAATTTTTATGCATTAAGTATCGTTTTATTCTACAGAATGCGAAGCATTTTGTTTACTAGAAAGTATAAATATTCCTTATTTATTGTTCGTAAGAATCTATGAGTTTGACGTTTTGTATACTGCAGTTCTGTACACCGTGGTATAATTCAGCAGTATTGTAGTAAGCAGGTACAAATTACAATATTGTAGTAAGGAAGACAAATTAAATAAGGGCGTTTCCGCTCGGGCGATCTCGCCCACTTTTTTATTCATTACTGCATCTACTGGGTCATGTGTAACTAATATATTGTTAGAAATCTAAACCAGAAATCATAAAAACGACTAGGAATGAAGAATAATTTTAATCAAATAAAAATCGGTTACAAAATCTATCTTCAAATAATAATCTAAAAAAAAATCTATGTTCAAATTTGAAAAGCACTGGACGTTATGCAAATCATCGATAGGTAAATAAGCGTCGAGAGCACACCAGCAAAAAACAAAAAAGCCGTTAGCATGGTTTTACTACCTTATACATATAGTATTCGTCGCTGACAGTTGGCAGCTATGACGGTCGGTTGGCAGTCCGGGCAGCGTCCTCGCAGCCTAATGAGGAGATATGCTCGGGCACAATTGGCCACATCATCATCAGAATCTGAAAGCGCACAAAACCTTACAGGGCTAAAAGCTACATAAAATCACGTAGGCGTTAACAGCATGAGGTTGAAAAGAATAGTAATCTTGCAAAAGTTCTTAAGCAAAGTTAAACTCACACAATAAGCTAAATAAGCACTAAGTTTAATATCCCACAAAGAATTATATGAACGGTGTCTGTGTTAATATAGTACACTTCTAGGTCACCTCAGCGCCTGGTTAGCTAACCGAGTCTTTTCCCAGTCACCCCAATACCTTAATAAAAGACACGACACGTAAAATTAAAATGTTTAAAATAAAAATAAAAAAGCTTGAGCAATAACAAGTTTAAACTTAGCGGGAGAAATAATTTTCAATTTGCTTATTTAAGTTAAAATATAAAAGTTAAATAAATAGAGTGTACTTTGCCATGACAGTTAGATACACGCGGTCGCTACGCGTGCGCGGCGGTGAAACGGCGTAACGTGCGGCGACCGCGCGGCGTGAGCGCGATAAAATTCGTGTTGAAAATACGTCTTAACGGTTCCTCTGTCAAATTCAAGACATTTATATAACCGCCATCTTGGAATTTTGTACGCACTGATTTAGTTTTATCCCATAATGAAAGTGCTGCGCAGTAATTTGTGTATTTTTATATCAGTCAATATTTGTACATTTAGAGCGATAAGCCCTGAAAAAAAATGTCACGATGGTTGACTATTACTTTGTGCATTTAATTATTTAGCCAGAGCTGAGATTACGTAATCTCCGTTTACTAAATCACTTTATAATCGCTTTCTAGTTCTATAATCCTCTCCTGTAAATAAATAATCAAGCAAAGATACGATACGATACGGAGATTATCGTATCGTATCTTCTGGGTCATATTTCCAATTTTAGCCGAAACGAATTCATTAGATTCCTGGTATATTATTAGAAATTACACAGCAGTGATTTGCCACAAAATTTAATTTCATTTACATTATTACATTCAAATAGTTTCACAGAGAGTCGGTTAGATAGGTGAAATTCTGTTAGTTCAAAAGTGACACTGTTAATAAGATATTTGTCATCATCATCATCATCATCATCATTCAGCCATACGACGCCCACTGCTGGGCATAGGCCTCCCCCAACGATCTCCACGATGCCCGCATCCACCGGCTTCCCGCGACCTTTACCAGAAAGTCGGTCCATCTTGTGTCCCATTGAGTGTTGTCCGGTGCGCGGTCGCCATTGAAGAACCTATCCGCTCCAACGGCCATCGGTTCTCCTAGCTATGTGCTTTAAGAGATTTAACACAATTCATATTCCGGTGGGACGGAATGGAAGCGAATTTTTGTAACGATATTATACATTGCAAAATTGAGCCTAAGACCGAAATCAACCCCGTAAGTCAACAAGAATTGTTGTGAAATAGTGTGGGTTTTGTCTTTTACTCTCTCATTATATATAATATATATGTAAAATTACCCAATTCACAAGTTTAAACAAATCAGAGTTTTGATCTACAAGTATAACCAAAATATTTGACATTGAAGTAGTATGTTAGTAGTTGCGACTCAATAGGTATGCGTGGTCTTATGTTTGAAGCCAATTTGCGACTTCAGGTGAAGTCATGGACTGTGAACGTGTTAACAATGCTTCCTTCATCATCATCATCATGATCAACACCCACTGCCTGACACGGATCTCCTTGACACTGGTCTAATGAGGATTGGGGACTTCACACGTTTTCCGAGGGTTGTGAACCTTCTTCACGTGTAGGTTTCATCACGATGTTTTCCTTCACGGAAAAGCTTATGAGAAATTTCGCACATAAATTCCGAGAAACTCAGAGGTGCGAGCCCGGATTCCAATCCACGACCCTCTGCTTGTGAGGTAGTAGGTCAAACCATTAGGCTATCACGGCTTCCATGCTTCCTTTGCAAAAACAAAAATATTTGGTGCTATCTATGTACGTAAAGGACTATTACTTTGAATAGTCAGAATGTAGCATCAAAATATAAATTAATAATTGTAACGAATCCATTAAGTGGTTTGGAGTGAACAATAGAAGATCAAATCAAAGAGCGAAATTAAAATTAATATACCCAGTTTGTAAAACCGTATCTTATTCATAAGGATTTTATTGGATTATGAAAAATGTAATGTATATCATCATCATATCTGCCGGAAGATGTTCACTGCTGAACGTAGGCCTCCCCCAAAGATTGCCTGACTAGCCGGTCGGGCGCGACGTGCACCCATCGGTCACCCGCCGCCCTTACCAGGTCATCCGTCCATCTAGTAGGGGGCCGTCCCACTAAACACCTTCCGGTTTTGTGTTGTTCAATCAAGATCCTTTCAGCCCTAACGCCCGTCAGTTCTACGAGTTATGTGCCCTGCCCACTGCTACTTCATCTTGCTACTTTCGTTCTTCTACGGATCTCCTCATTTCTGATTCGACCACATAGAGAAATGCCGAGCATTGCTCGCTCCTTAGCTCGTTGAGTGACTTTGAGTTATTTTATGAGGCCCATAGTAAGTGACCACGTCTCAGAGTAGGTCATCGCTGGCAACACGCAC